CAGTAGGTGCTGTGATGGAAAACAAACACAGGCTGAGGAAGCACAAAGAAGGAACCTGGACCCTGCCAGGAGAGGGGAGGTCCAAGAAGGGTCTTAGGATGAGCCATGCTTCATCTGAAATTTACAGGGTAGATTGGGATTTGCTACAAGGAGAAGCAGGACAGACATCCTAGGCTGAGGGATGAACATGGGAAATGGGCAAAGACTGCAGTTGATTCAGGCTGGGAGGAGGCAGGAGCGGGAGGAGGGGACACTGAGGCAGGGCTGTGAGGAGACCGCACTGTGCGGGTCAGACGGACTCTTCAGCTGGGGTGAGGAGGAGGGTGGATGGGAAGGCGCGAGGCTGGAGGCAAGTAACGATGGCAAGAGACAAGGGGAACATGACTTCCGGCTGAGCCAGTGTGGGCCAAGCGGACCCAGAAGCATCCAGACTTGGTATTCAGTTTGGGTGAGCAGGCGGGGGGCTCTAGAATGACCTCATGACTTTCTCTTCGGGTCTTTTAGATCCAGGACACAAACGATATCACATATGCGGACCTGAACCTGCCCAAGGGGAAGAAGCCTGCTCCCCGGGCCGCGGAGCCCAACAATCACACGGAGTACGCTAGCATTCAGACCAGCCCGCAGCCCGCGTCGGAGGACACCCTCACCTACGCTGACCTGGACATGGTCCACCTCAACCGGACCCCCAAGCAGCCGGCCCCCAAGCCCGAGCCGTCCTTCTCGGAGTACGCCAGCGTCCAGGTCCCAAGGAAGTGAATGGGACCGTGGTCGGCTCTAGCACCCACCTCCACGCGCTTTCTTGTCCCACAGGGAGCCGCCGTGATGAGGACAGCCAACCCAGTTCCCGGAGGGCTGGGGTGGTGCAGGCTCTGGGACCCGGGGGCCAGGGTGGCTCTTCTCTCCCCACCCCCCTTGGCTCTCCAGCACTTCCAGGGCAGCCATGGCCCTCTCCACACACATTGCCACACACCTCCAGGCTGACGTTGCCAAACCAGCCAGGTAACCGACCTGGGAAGTGGCCAGAGCTGCCTGGGGTCCAAGAACTCTTGTGCCTCCATCCATCACCACCTGGGTCTTGAAGACCCTTGACTGCCTCCCTGATGCTCCGAAGCCTGATCTTCCAGAGTGGGGAGGAAAAAATCCCACCTCCCCTGACCTCCACCACCACCACCCAATTGGGGCTGTGGGGGAAGATTTCCCCTTTAGATCAAACTGCCCCTTCCATGGAGAAGCTTGGAAAAAAACTCTGGAACCCATATCCAGACTTGGTGAGGTTACTGCCAACAGTCCTGGCCTCCCCCATCCCTAGGCTAAAGAGCCATGAGTCCTGGAGGAGGAGGGGACCCCCCACCCCAAGGACTGGAGACAAAACCCTTCGCTTCCTCGGGTCCCTCCAAGACTCCCTGGGGCCCAGCTGCGTCGCTCCACCCGGACCCACCTCTCCCTTCTAGACCTGAGCTTGCCCCTCCAGCTAGCACTAAGCAACATCTCGCTGTGGACGCCTGTAAATTACTGAGAAATGTGAAACGTGCAATCTTGAAACCGAGGTGTTAGAAAACTTGATCTGTGGTGTTTTGTTTTGTTTTTTTCTTAAAACAACAGCAACGTGATCCTGGCTCTCTGTCATGTGTTGAAGTCCACGGTTGGGTCTTGTGAAGTCTGAGGTTTAACAGTTTGTTGTCCTGGAGGGATTTTTCTTACAGCGAAGACTGAGTTCCTCCAAGTCCCAGAGCCCCAAGAAAGGGCAAGAAGGATCAGGTCGGCTGCTCCCTGGAGACACAGCCTTCTGCCTGGGACTGACTTGGCCACGTTCTTAGCCGAGCCACACAGCTGGTACTGCAGCCTTCTGTAACCCCACTGTGGTAAGTCCAGCCTGCTGAGGGCTGCCTCTTGACAGTGCAGTCTTGTCGAAACCTAATGCCTCAGTCTGCTCATCCGTAAAGTGGGGATAGTGAAGATGACACCCCTCCCCACCACCTCTCACAAGCACTTTAGGGACACGTAGAGGGTAGGGATAGTGGCCCTGCCATCTATCCTACCCCTTTGGTGACTGCCCCCATCCTGGCTTTCTGAGCTGATCCTTGAAGGAGAAATCTTCCATTTCTGCTCTCAAACCCTACTGGAATCAGACTGGAATAAATTGAAGACACCCAGGGTGGTGGTACAGCTATGACGCTCCGGCCGATTCCCCCTCTGTCCCAGAAGGTTGGCCAGAGGATGTGACCCGGTTACCCTTTAACCCCCACCCTTCCGATCGGGTGTGAGGGCCTGGCCAGGCCCAAAGCGAGCCGAGGTCACAAGCCCTATTTATTTGGTCTTCCCTATAACTCTAATGTTCACAGCTCCTGGCCTCGGGATGCCCAAGGGATTTCTAGCTCAGGCTGTAAAAGTGAGAAGCTGAGCCCTCCTGCCCATTCCTGGAGGTCCTACAGGTGGAACTGCAGGACCTCAGCATACCTAGCTCTCTGGGGGATGGTCACTTGGTGATTTCAATCATGGCATCCAGAAATTAGCTGAGCCAACAAACCATGTGGGCAGCTTTGGCCGGAGCTCCTGTGTGGCATCTGGGAGCCACAGTGGCCCAGCCACCTGGCTCAGGCTATTTCCAAATTCCAAAAGATTGGCTTGTAAACCTTCACCTCCCTCTCTTCTGCCCAGAGACAGCACATATATGTGTGCACACACACACATTCAGTATATTAAAAGAATGTTTTTTCTTGGTGCCATTTTCATTTTCTTGTATTTTAATTCTTGGAGGGGGAAATAAGGGAACAAGGTCAAGGAAGATGCATAGTTCTAGCCTGGCAACCTGGAGAGATTCCATATACCTTGTGTATCAAACCCCAGGAAAAGGAAGAGGTCGAACCAAGCCTGCGGAAGGAGCATGGTTTCAGGAGTTTATTTTAAGACTGCTGGGAAGGAAACAGGCCCCATTTTGTATATAGTTGCAACTTAAACTTTTTGGCTTGCAAAATATTTTTGTAATAAAGATTTCTGGGTAATAATGAGTCCCTCCAGTGTTCAGTATTCTTGTCTTTGTGAGTGTGTCTATGGGCCTCCTCAGGACTGCATGCCTTCCCGCCAAAGGCTGGAAGAGGATTGAATAGACCCCAAGGCTTGGAAACAGCCTACAGCATTTGAGCCTCGACTTAGGTCTTAGAGACATACGATCTTTGTTTCCCCTGGCTCAGAAGGAGTAGGCGTAAGGTTGAAACAAAATTCCAGACAGACAACTGAGTTTGGATCCTGGCTCTGCTGCTTTGTAGCTATGGGAAGTCAAACAGCACCTCTTTGAGACTTGGACCCTGCTTCTGCACAGTGGGGCAGGAGTAACCCCTGCCAGGGTGACTGTGGGATTCAAGGAGGTCGGGAGCACTGAGCCCATGCTTGGCACCGGACAGGTCCTCACTGAGGCTTGTGTCTTTCCTTCCTGTCCTGACCCTGCATAGCTGAGGCTTGTGGCCTCTCCCCACTGATAGGATCTCGGACACCTGGCTCTCCCTCCTGAGGCCTCACTTTCCTCCCCCACCAAATGCAGAAATCTAATGCTTGTCCTGTAATACCCTTGCCAGACCACTTATGTCAAGTGCTGGTTTATAGTGGGTGGTCAATAAATGTTAGTTTCCTTTCTCTCCCTCGGTTAGATCATTAATGATATTAGTGCTAATTATGTAATAAAGTTAAGGCATCAATATGTTGATAGTGGTTACTATGTGTCAACACTTTGATGACCAATTTTACACCTTGTGACTCCTGGGCAATCATGTTATTGACTCCATTTTATAGATGGCACAGAGAGGGGGTGCCACTTATACAAGGTCACACAGTTAATGAGCGATGTTACTGAGCCTCAGACTCCAGCTGTATGACTGCAGTGCCTGATGCTTAGCCACTAGGTTAATAATCAATACATCACATATTGAGCACTGACTGCAAAACTAACCACCACGATAGCTAATAACAGCTATGACAAGTGTGGTGCGAGGTGCTTCACAATTATAACTCATTTCATTCTCAACCACCACGTGAGGGAGGAGCTCTTGTTCTCTGTGTTTTACAGATGAGGAAACTGAGACATGGAGAAGTCATTTCTCCAATGTCCCATGGCAGAGCAGTTTGAAGCCAGGGAATCCTACTCTTCCTCCCCTCACTGTACTTACTACCTCATTTAATTCTCGTGATGATCAGATCGCTGTGGTTGTGCCCATTTTACAAAGATGAAAAGATAAGTTTCTGGAAGTGCATGTGGCATGGCCAGTCTCACACAGTGAGTCTTTAGTCAAGCTGAGACTCGAACTCACATCCACAAGCCCCCTGGGGATCATCCCTACACCCTTGGCCTGGTCCATGTGATAGGGACCACCTCTGTCAGGGAGCCCCCTGCAGGACTCAGAGAGGTCACCTTCCCCTCAGGCCAAGACCTTGGGCGTAACAGACAACTCAGCAAGTTCCTGGCCTGTGGCCTCAGTTCAGCTGTTCGCCTCCCTCCGAGAGCAACCCATGAAATATGTGCACTGCTTGCAGGAATGGGGTGTTCAAGGCATGAATCCAGACCGAGTGGGTGGGGAAATGCCTTCCATTCTCTGGGAAGGTGGGGGATGATGGACTGCGTGTCCAGGCAAGGAGACTTGAGGGATGTATTTTATGCAGCACCTGGGCCTCGCTTCTCCACGGCCCAAATCTCCAGGGCTGGAGGTTGGCAGGCGAAATTAAAGTTGATGGGAGCTATGTGGACCTTTTCCAGCCCGCCAGGAAATCAGTCAAGCATTTGGCATTTATTGGGCACCTCCTTGGGGTTCCTCCTGGTGCAAAGGAGAAAGCTAAGACTCCCTTCCTCCATGAGGACCAGGCCGGAGGCCCCTGCCTTCCACCTGAAGCCTCTGCCCATTTTACATGATAATCAGGAAAATCTCCACCAGCCTCCAACCCCAAGAGTCGAATGCCCTACTGTAAAAGCCCATGCGCCTTCTAACACATTTCCAACAGCCAAGTTTTGATGAAGGTTTATTTAATTTTGGCATACGCACTTACTACATATTAAACACTCTTCTAAACTCCAGACAAGTATTTATTACAATCAATTCACTTTATTCTCTTAACAAACCTGAGTTAGGTACTATAATTATCCCCCATTTAACAAAGAAATGGAAACAGAGACATTAAGCGTTTTGCTCCAAGGTCACCATCCGGGAAGTGCCACCACTGTGGGTGTGGTCCAGTCCAGCACTGAACAGGCATGATAGGGGTTGGGGACCACTGAAGAGAAAGGCGGGGGCACAGATAATGTTCATGATACCCTGGGCACTGCCAGTAGCCAGGAAACACCACATCGCCACCAAAGCTTCAGAACGTCAGTGCAGTATGGCTGCCCGCCTGCTCACCAGCCAGCTGAGGCACTGTTGAACCTGCCACTGCTGGGATCCTCGACACCACGACCCTTCACCACCCTCTGCACTGTGCCTGACCAGGCTCTTGGTTTCTTTTCTGAATACAAAATTATGACATTGAAGATGCTTTTTAAGAAGACGTGCTCCCGATGTTCAAAAACAGCCAAAACCTTGGCAACAGAGATCAGAAGAGTGGCTGCCCTTGGAGGGAGGACCAGGAGAAGCCGGGGGTGGCACATGTCCTATGTCTTCCCGAGTCGTGGTTACCTGGGGGGTCGCATTTGTAAAAACTCTTCCAGCTGCACAATAAAGATGTGGGCATTTCCCTGTATATAAGTTATACCTCTAATTTTTTAAAAGATGGATGCCCTGCCCTGCCCCTCTCAACCTTTGGTGCCTGCCCCAATCTGTTTTTTAAAGACAGTGTCAACACCTTATCTTTGATCCCTGAACCCAACCCAGGGCCTGGCCCCGGTAAGGGGCTAAAGGAGCGTCACTGAGTTCATTTGAAAGATGAACAGGCTGGGTGCGGTGGCTCATGCCTATAATCCCAGCACTTTGGGAGGCCAAGGTGGGTGGATCACAAGGTCAAGAGATTGAGACCATCCTGGTCAACATGGTGAAACCTTGTCTCTACTAAAAATACAAAAATTAGCAGGGCATGGTGGCACGCACCTGTAGTTCCAGCTACTCGGGAGGCTGAGGCAGGAGAATTGCTTGAACCCAGCAGGCAGAGGTTATGGTGAGCCGAGATCGCGCCATTGCATTCCAAGCCTGGGTAACAAGAGTGAAACTCCGTCTCAAAAAAAAAAAAAAAAAGAAAGATGAACAGCCCCGTGACTAAAATAGCACACAGAACAGTGAAAGCAAAGACGCCAAACAGCACAAGGTTATCATCCCCTGAGATTCCCTCTGTCACTCTTCCTCCTCCTCCACCGTGGCCATCAGATACAACTGCACCCCAGCATCCTTGCCCTGTGACCTTGGACAAACAGGTTCACCGCTGAGCCTCTGCTTTGTCACCTGTGAAACAGGGATAGTAGCAGGGGTTCTGGCGAGGGTTCGATGAGAAAGTAAATTTAAGACTTTGCAGCAGTGTGGTGCAGACAGCAGTCGACATATGCACACACACACACATTCACACTCACGTTGACATCCACACACTCACACATCAGGCCAGGTCATCAGAGCAGCTCTGCAATGGTAGGTCTTCTCTTCTGACAAATAATTTTATCAAGTCCCTCTCTTCCTCATTAGCCTGAGATAGGTCCCTCTTACCAATCTTTGGGGGACGGTGTCCAACCCCTCAGCTTGGTTTTCGGAGTCCTCTGCCTTACACCACCACCTGACCTGTTTAAGAACATTTTCTGCCCCTCCCCAGCCCCTATGGGACTCCCTGGCCAGGCTGATTTTTCCCTTCCCACAAAATACTAGACTTCCTTAACCCCACCGTGAGTCATTCCCCCGTGACTTGGTGTCCTCCCGACCAGATGTGAGCTCCCAAACGAGAACTTCACATTCTACCTTTGGGATCCAGCCCCTAGGATAAGGGAGACTAAAGCCCACCATGTGCCGGTCTGGACCCTGAAGGTTCATTTCATGGAACCTTCACATCCTTTACAGATGGGTGTTATAATGTCAATTTCACAGAGAAGAAAATTGAAGCTCAGAGAGGTGAAGAGTTAAGTTCGAGATCATTTAACCAGTAATTATTTCTCAATCTCCCACCAGAACGTGGCCTTGTGCAAAATTCTGAGGACGCAATGTTGACAAAAAATGGACCACACCCAGATGAGCTCATGTATGAGGGAGCCAGAGTCACTGGCAATCCCAGTGCCGGGATGAGTGCTGCTGAGAAGGGCGTGGCAAACATGACAGGCATGGGCAGAATTAACACGCTAATGAGTGAGCCAGTGGGGGTGGCGGTGGCGGGTGGTGGTAGGAGGGGAGAGCTGGCTCCAAGAGTAAATGGGCATTTTGAGGCTTTGAAAAAGGAGGATGAGAATAACATCTTCAGGTTGGAGATCAATCTGGTTAACGTTCTTCAAGGCAATAAAGCCATATCTTTAGAATTATTTTTTTCTGCCAGACAGAGCCATTTGTACCTCTACCAAACAAAAATCTACAGATTAGCCCTCATCTGGGCCTTAATCAAATAAGAAAGACAAACTCAGGTATATTCTTCTCTAGAACTAACTAATCCTTCAGTAGGGCTTTTAAACCATGCCCCACTATGGCAATGAAATAAAGCATCCCCTTCCTTTGCCTTATTTCCAAATTTTGGACACTTTGTCTTATTAAAGGAAAGTATGCTGGCTTCATTCAGCCTGCACAGGGCAGAAAATGCTTCTTGAAGAGGAAATCCCTGAACTGAGATCTAAAAAGTAAGAAGCCAGATAAGTCCAAAGGAGCCAGTGCAAAGGAGTTCAAAGGAGCCAGTGCTGGCAGAGGCCAGCCTTCCCTGTGTGCACCAGCCCCGCTGAGCTCTGCCACCCGACTCACACCACTCTCTCCGTCACTCCCTGCATGGGCAGCACCGGCCTCCTGACAGGTCCTAAACTGAACCACAGGACCCTTGCCTGGGCTACTCCCTCTGCCTGGAACACTCCCTGGATCTTTCCTGCTTATTCTTCAATCCAGAAGACTGGGCTAAGCTCCCTTGACAAACACTTCCAGAGTAACCGTGTCCAGCACGTCTTTGTAGCTCTCCTCACAGTTTGTCCTTATACATTGGCCTTGTGATTACGTGGCTAACATCCCTCTCCTCTACTGCCCTAGGTGCTGCCTCAGGGCAAGTAGGGTGTTGATTGACTCATCAGTGGAATGCCTATGCTAAGCCCATAGGAGGCACCCCACAAATACGAGATGGATGGGAGGATAGACGGAGTGATGAGAAGGAGGATGAAAGGATGGATGGATGGGAAGGAGGGAGGATGAATGGATGGCGGATTGATGTAGGAGAGCATGGATGGGTGGATGGGTGGGAAGGAAGAAAGGGGGAGAGGGAAGAGGGAGGGAAGAGAGCAAAGGGGAAGAAAAGAGCCTAAAAGTTGGAGTCTGGTTGGCATTTTAGGAGAACCGAGAGTCTCTGGCTGGCAGGTTTGGAACTAGATGCAAACCTCAGTACATCTGACTTTTCCCACTGAAGTTTCTCTGCCTTTCATCATGATACTGGGTTCAGGGCAATCACCTGTTTAAAAAATGATGCATGATCCCCAACAGGCAAGGAGCCAGTGACCTTTGTCTGAGCCTTTGGTTCCTCTTCTAGAGAAACTGGGGCTATACTTAGAAAACAGGATAAAAGACTTGCAAAACTCTGTCTCTACCCTCAAATCGCACAACCCTAGCGCCGCTGGTCAATGGCTCAACTTTGGGAGCTGGCGGGGCTCAGCCTCTCAACAGACTTGTCCTCCTGGCTTTGCTTCAAGGACAACAGGCCACGCGCTCGTGGTAAAGGTGCGGTTCCCAGCAACACGCGGGCCCATGCGGGCCCTCTCTGGGCAAGGTCAGCTGGTGCAGCAGCCGGTTGCATGGATCTGGGCCACAGACCTGTCTCCAGAACGAGGCCGGGTGAGAGTTTAATGGTGAGAAGGCTGCAGCCTGACGAAGGCTGTCGGCTGGATTCTGCCATGGCTCCCCCTATGCCAGTAAATGGACCCTGTGCACATGCAGATTAACGCATTATCACTAATGTTTCGTGCCAGATGCAAAGGCACTTAGGCAGCCAGGCCGAGAGTTGTCATTACTACAGGACCTTTTGCTGGAATATTTTTCTTGGGGCAATTAAATCTTCAGCTGTCTCCTCCAAGGGAGTGCCAGCTTGCATTTTAATTATCCTCAAAAGAGGGAAGTAGGGGAAAGGACACAAAGCAAAGAATGAAAAAATAACAACCTGTTTTGTAAACACACTGGTTTCTCCCCCTTCAACTCCACCATGCCCTTGACCTTTAGACTCCTGCCTCCTAATACCCGTGGAAGGGCCTCTTTAAGGGGAAGAAGGGAAAGGAAGTAGAAGAGAGCATTTCTTGAGTGTGAAATAAGTGTTAGCGCAGTGCATTATGCCCGGTTAATTTAAAAAAATTTTTTTTGAAGAGATAGGGTCTCCCTATGTTGCCTAGGCTGGTCTCAAACTCCTGAACTCAAGTGATCTTTCTGCATCAGCCTCCAAGTAGCTGGGACTACAGGTGCATGCCAACAAGCCAGCTAATTTTTTTTTTTTTAATTGTATAGAGACTGGGTCTCCCTATGTTGTCCAGGCTAATCTTGAATTCCTGGGCTCAAATGATCCTCCTGCCTCAGTTTCCCAAGGTGCTGGGATTATAGGCATGAACCACTGCTCCCACCCTCAGGGAAAGTTCAAGAACCAGCAAAACTCATCTCTCAGGTGCTGGAGGAGAGTGAGGGAATTGACTAAAAGGGACAAAGGGAACTTTTGGGGGCCTGGAAATGCTTATCTTGATTGAGGTGGTGCTTACATGGGTGTATATATCGGTCAAAACTCATCAAACTGTATACTTAAAATGAGGGCATTTTGTTTGGAAGTTAATAGTTTAATAAAGTTGATTTTAAAATAAATACTAAATATGAGTTAATATTTACCTAGACCTTACTATGTGCTGTCCTAATTGTGCTTCCTATGTGTTAAGCCCTTTATCCCTCACTTTAATCTGACATAGGCACCGAGTGCCCCATTACCCAGATGAGGAAATTGAGGCACAGAGAAGTGAAGCAACTTTCCAAAGTGACCCAGCTAGTAAGAGGCAGAGCCTGTGTTCAAATCCAGACAGGATCTGAGCCTGTAGCCTGAACAGCGAAGTCCAAGATTGCCCACCTGGCTAGTGCTAGAGGCAGGATTAGATCCCGGGGCCTTTCCAATGTGGTGAAACTGGTGGAAGAGGAAAATGCATTCATTCATTAGGGAAATATTTACCCAGCCTCTACTGCAGGTCGAACTGTAGACACCAAGGGCAACAGAAAAATCCCAGGCCCTTGTCGGGAAGGAAAGGCATCATGAAATAATCAGAAAAATAAATGCGAACGCCGTCAGCGATGAATGCTCAGAAGGCGAGCTTGCCCCGGACCGAAAAGCGCAATACGAACCGAGAGTGTGCGGAGGCCACGCCCTCCTCGCGTATTTGTGCCCAAATGAGCCGCCTCCCCAGCGTGCACCAAATTCCTGAGCCACCTGCTCCGAGCGATTTCCCTTTCAAGCTGTGTGTTCTGCGGGGGCAGGGCGAGCTGCAAGGGCTCATCTTTCAGGACATGCCGCAAAGGACCTTTGAAGTCATCCGCCCTGCTCTTGGCACCTGGCGCCTGGAGCTGAGCTCTTCCAGAAATGACCTCTGCGCATTCCTCTGGCCCTGATGCCCATCCCAGGCAGTCGCGGTCCAGAGCAGGGAGGAGCACCGCGGTCTTGAGGGAGGACCCTGCGTCAAGCCAAGCCACCAGACCCTGTTCCCCCACCACCCCGACGTGTAACCCTGGCGCGAGGAACGGGGACCGGACTTTTAGGCCTTGAAGGGCAGACCTGCTCCACCAAACATTCCCATTGTTGATGGGGGGCCCCCCAAGCTGGGCTCCGTGGGTACATTATCCAATTTATTTCCCTCGGTAGCCCTGCACCATTGCCTCTGGTTCCCAGGTGAGCACAGAGAGGCAGATGACTTACCCAGGATCACACAGTACTGCAGAAATAGAATTGGTATCTGGACATCTCCCCTAATATCCCACGGCCTCCATAGTCTCACCTCAGCCCCTCTGCACCCCCTGAAATAAACACTCTACACCATTCAGTGAATATTCTTTCGGAAGTCAGACCCTATAAATTTATTTCCTGGCTCCTCCATTTCCTGGCCGTGTGAACTTAAGCAAGTTTCTTAACCTCTCTGTGTCAGCACCCTCCTCTGTAGAATTGTGCCAAAAACTGTGCCCAGATGATAGTGAGCCCTCAAAAACTAGTCACTACTCTAATTCCATAGACTTGATTAATTTCTGGGTTTTCATAAGTGGATTATTTAAGACACCTTTCCAAGTGAGACGTACAGGTCTACCTCGTTTCAAGGAGCTCCATAACGTTCTTATATTCATTCATTCACCAAACGTGTAGAGCGAGCAGCTCCTGGACACCAGGCAAGGGCATACAACACACTCAGTCCTTGCTCTGAGTTCTGGTGGGAGGGCTAATTGACAAATGCATGAATAAATAGCCGAGAGTCCTATGAAGAAAATAAGACGGGGCCAGGCACCGTGGCTCATGCCTGCAATCCTTACACTTTGGGAGGCTGAGGTGGGCAGATCATTTGAGGCCAGGCGTTCAAGACCAGCCCTAGTTTTTAGTAGAGAAACTCCATCTCTACCAAAAATACAAAAAAAAAAAAAGAATAAAAAATTAGCATGTGGTGTGGTGACGCATGCCTGTAATACCAGCTACTTGGGAGGCACGAGGATTGTTTAAACCTGGGAGGCAGAGCTTGCAGTGAACTGAGATCTCACCACAGCACTCCAGCCTGGGTGACAGAGTAAGGCTCTGTCTCAAAAAAAAAAAAAAGAAAAGAAAAATAAGATGGACAAAGTGATGGAGAGACATGGCATTTACACCACCACTGGCAGGAAGAGGAGGGAGGTGCATGGAGCAGTTCAGGCAGAGGGAGCAACCAGGGCAAAGGCTGGGAGGCTGACTAAGCTCCAACGGGGCGATTCAACTGGAAGTCAAGAATGAGCACTTTTGAAATCAGGTAAGAGAGTCAGGCCAGTGCCCGAAGAGGCAGCACGTGTGGATTTTATCCTGAGAGACATGTGAAGTCTCTGAACCCAGAGGTTCTGCAGCGCTGTAGGAATGGATCAGAGAGGCATGAGTGGAGGAATGAGGAAGTTTGTCAGGCTACAGAATTGAGAGCACAGGCAAGAGGCAATGGTGGCAGGGACCAGGGATGCAGCCTCCAGCCTGGAACATTCCTCGGTGGCAGAGCCCACAGGACCAGCTGACAGGGAGGACGGAGTTGAAGGAAAAGAATAAACAAGTTGCCACAGACAGATGTCACCGTAATAATTTAATTAACAAATTCCCTATTGATGGAGAGCTGGACTGTTTCTATTTTTTCCCAACTTGCAAACAGTTTTGTCTTAAACATTATTGCATAGATATCCCCAGACGTGAGACGCTTGAACCAAAGGCGTGAACATTTTTTTTATCATATCCAGGTGGCCACATTGCCTGTATTCCACTTGTGTCCAGCATGAGGAGTTCCAGTTTCTACCCTGCAACTTTCTCCTCCTGCTGTGCTCCTGGGAACACTCTGCCCAACCCCTCCGCCTCTGGCACAGACCTGGTCTCCAGTGCATTTGTATTTCTTGCTGCTATCTGGAATTACAAGTTGTTAAGAAGAAAATCTCAGAACCAGGCTAAGTGGCTAAAAAGACTGCCCGGGGGCCTCTTTTTCCAGCAGGAGGCAGAGAGAGGCTTCCAACACCCTGAAGAGGGCCAAGTCACCCCTATTCTTCCAAAAACAAGGAATTGGGCTTTTTTTTTTTTTTCCTGTTCAGCCTGAAAACAAGCCAGGGCATTGAGATGGCCATGAAGACAAGCGGTGAAAACAGGCCCTGACGTTACAGGAAACCCTTCTCCCCACCACTCCCTGAGCAGCGGGAAGGATGGGAGCCACTGTCCTCTGGGACCTCTGCCCTTCAGCCCCTCTGGAGCCCACTGGCCCTCCCCATCTCACATCTGATCAATGCCCCCTGGTTGTGGCCACCACCTGCTGCCTGACCCCTATTCATGCCAGCTTTTGCTACAGGGGTTTCCTTTTCATAAATGGCCTTTTTAAAGGAAGTGTTTTCTTTTAATGAGCAGTCACCATGTCTGCAACAGTGCTGAAGCAGAATTTTGTTATTTTCCCATCACTTAGAGCTTATTTGTTCCATTAATTTGGGGGAAGGGTGGCTAAGATTTTAGAGATTCATAACTGGCTTGTGCACAGTATCTGATTTTCACTTTGGCATTTGGAGATGCTTTTGAAGAAGGTTTATGTTATCTTTCCAAGACTTACCTGGTGAGTTACTTAATCAGCAGAGGATTTGGAAACATACTGCTTCTTAATATCTTATCTTTCGTTTTTGTTTTGTTTTGTTTTGCTTGAGACAGAGTTTCGCTCCTGTGGACAAACTTTTGAAACAAGGGAAAGTATGTTATATTTAAACTCCAAGTCAATTTCCAATCAGTGCTCTTTGACAAATTTCTTATAAGATGACAAGAATGATAAGAATTTTTTTTAAAAAAACAGAGTTTCACTCTTGTTGCCCAGGCTGGAAGGCAGTGGTGCAATCTCGGCTCACCACAACCTCCGCTTCCCAGGTTCAAGTGAGTCTCATACTTCAGGCTCCCGAGTAGCTGGGATTACAAGCATGTGACTCCTGGCTAATTTTGTATTTTTAGTAGAGATGTGTTTTCTCCATGTTGGTCAGGCTGGTCTTGAGCTCCCAACCTCAGGTGACCCACCCGCCTCAGTCTCCCAAAGTGCTGGGATTACAGGCATGAGCCACCGCGCCTGGCCTGTTTTGTTTAGTTTAGTTTAGACAGAGTCTCGCTCTGTTACCAAGGCTAGAGTGCAGTGGCATGATCTTGACTCACAGCAACCTCTGCCTCCCCGGTTCAAGCAATTCTCCCACCTCAGCCTCCCAAGTTGCTGGGATTATAGGCACACACCAGAACATCCGGCTAATTTTTGTATTTTTAGTAGAGATGGGGTTTCACCATGTTGGCCAGGCTGGTCTTGAACTCCTGACTTCAGGTAATCCACCCGCCCCCGACTTGGTCTCCCAAAGTGCTGGGATTACAAGTGTGAGCCACTGTGCCCAGCCTATCTTGTCTTCTAAAACAAGTGACTTTTTTTTTTTTTAATAGAAAATGAATGGATAGCAACTCTTTGACATCGCTAGTAACTATCATTAATCAGCTGCTTAGGAAGTGTCAGCTGCCAGGCTGGGCTCACTCCCACTGGATCTGCTCCACGCCTCTCTCAGGGAGGTATGAGTTTTTGTATACATTTTATGTGAGAGGAAATCAAGGCATGGCGAAGTTGGCTATTACTAGTAACTTACCCAAAGCTCCAGACCAGGGCAGAACTGGGTTGCAGGTTCCAAACACCCCTGGGCCCTTCCTTTGTAACGATGGTTATGAAGCCTCTCTGAGGGGAGGCTGCAGGTTCTCCTGCAGGTCACTGTGGCAGTGACATGGGTGGGGGTGGCAGACAGACACACGTTTCCCTTTGTCCTTACTCTTGTCCATGGCAGCTCTTCCTTCCTACTGCTGGTCCAGCCGACCCATGGGCCTTCCAGATCCACATTAGAAGCAGAATCCCTTGTTCTAGATGACTCATAAAGGCTCTGTATCTCTGATTCTCTGATGGGGTGCTGACTAATGCTCAGGCGTTTCAATTCTTTTTGGGAAGTGACCTGTTCCCCTCCACCTAGACGGGACAGATTTCACAAATAAAAATACAGGACCCCCAATTACATTTCAATTTCATAAAAATAATCACTATGTTTCGTATACATCATGCAATATTTGGGATGTAAAAATTACTTGCTGTTTATCTGAAGTGCAAATGTAACTGGGCATAGGTATCCTGTATTTTCTCTGTCAACCCTGTCTCCATCCCCCAGTAGATGTCCTTCCAGAGGGGCCTGCCAGACTAAGCCCTTCCATCAGCCAGACCTGAGAATAAGAGCAGTTAGGTAAGCGCTCGGTCAGCATGGAAGAGCCTTGGGGCATTGAGTGGGACAGGCTGACATTGAGCCTTGCAGGGCCTCAGTTTCCCTGACTTGGGCTACAATGTGGAGCTCAGAAATCCCCAAGGAGCCCACTGTCCACACATTGATGGTCACTGCTTTTAACATGAAGTCCAGCTTCCTTAGTGAGGTATTCAAAGGCCCTGTCTGCCACCCCACCTCGCCTCCTGCCCAGCTCACACAGCCACCTGGAAGGACTTAGAGTCCCCTCAAAACAATCTCTTCTCACCTATATCTTCACTCTTCTCCTTGCCTGGAGAAGCTCCCCTCCCTTGTGTGCTGTTTAAACTTCTATTCCCCCTTTATGCCTTTTTTTTTTTGACCCAGGCTGGAGTGCAGTGGTGTGATCTCGGCTCACTGCAACCTCCACCTCCTAGGTTTAAGCGATTCTCCTGCCTCAGCCTCCCAAGCAGCTGGGACTACACGCACCCCCACCATGCCCAGCTAATTTTTGTATTTTTAGTAGAGACAGGGTTTCACCATATTGGCCAGGCTGGTCGAACTCCTGGCCTTGGGATCCACCTGCCTCGGCCTCCCAAAGTGCTGGGATTACAGGTGTGCGCCACCTTGCCTGGCCCTTTATGCCTTTAATGCCACCTCCTCCCAGAAGCCTTCCCTGAGCACTGTGGGAAGAGAGGTACTTGCTTTCACTTCCCTGTCTCTTTGGGCCTCTTTGAGAGTTTGATCACGACAAAGTTACGGCGTGTGCAAGTTTAACATGCTCTTCAGACAAAAGAAAAAATACAGAAAAAGACAAAAAGAGAGAAAGAAAATAAGGAAGGGCCACATGGCCCAATTGGCACACATGCTAAGTGTTATGAGGCGGAGGCAGAATCTGCTCTGAGGCTCAGTCCCCATAGGCCCCTCATCCCACAGCTACCTAAGGACACATCTTTAAAGAGAAGCTGGAGAAAAAATAACTTGCCGTATAGAGGGAAAGAATGAGGGATCTGGCAGACTGGACCAGCCTAAATTCAGACTCCGCTCCACGCTTCCTAGCTGTATAACCCCTAACCAGTTGCTGACTCCTCTGTGCCTGGCTCCTTATCTGCAAAGTGGGCATAAGATCCTCATAAGTTTATTGAGAGATAAAATGAGCTTAACGCCTGTGAAGGGCTCGCAGCAGCTCCTAATACACACTGGCATTAGATGATATTATGATCTAATACTACCCCAGCCAGTGCCCTCTGTGGAAGGAAGAGGAACCTGCTCTGGGCTGCAGGGAAGCCAAGCTGTGCTGGACTTGCTAGAAGACTGAGTATCAGTCCCCAACCTCGTGTCTCTGAGGATTTCCCAGGGATACTTTTTATTACACTTGATTTTTGCTTTCCAAGCTAACTTGACTGAGTAGCACCCTCAGAGAAATCTAACCATCAGATAGATAGTCCGAGGTGAAAATTCCCATCCACCATTTCTATAATAGTTGTGTGACCTTGAGTCAGTCGCACTTGGCATGAGCTGTGCTCACTTCACCTGTCAGTGGAGACATGATACTCATCCCCAGGGCATGAGGAGTTAACACCTTTGCTGATGCCTGCTACCTGGTAGACACCCGATACCAAGACTTCTGTGATTAATTTACTCTTTCCACAGCAGCTGTTGTTACACTGTGTTTCATTTTCAGTTCACATGCTCTTCACCCTACAGCCTGGGAACCCTCAAGGATGGGGATTAGTTCCAAGTCAGCTCAGGCTTCCACGGTCAAGTCTACACGGAAAACCAGGAGGCACTCAGGCATAGGGAGGGAGAGGGGGAGGGAGGGAGGAAGGAAGGAAAAGAAAAAGGAAGGAGGAAGGGAGTGAGAGAAGGGAGGAAGGAAGAAGAGAAGAAGAAGGAAAGGAAAGAAAGAAGGAGGAAGGAAGAGAGGGAGAAAGGAAGAGGGGAAGAGAGTGAGGGAGGAAGGAAGGAAGAGAGGAAGGAAGGAAGGAAGGGAGGAAGGAAGGAAGGAAGGAAGGAAGGAAGGAAGGAAGGAAGGAAGGAAGGAAGGAGGGAAGGAAGGAGGGAGGGAGGGAGGGACACAGAATTAAACTCTTGATCCTCTGGCTCCCAGCTTGTCTGACTGATCAGAGGAATGGATCAATAGCCACCACTCATTCTCCTATCTCTTTCTGGAATCACAACTTAGGTTTGTAGCTGTCTAATTTATTATTATATGGTGCAGTGCAGGGTAATTATACACTGTGGTATAATTTGTTATAACTTGGGCTGAGGCCTATAACTGTATAATTTATTATTATACAGTACAGTGCTGAATAATATGAAAAGTATATAATTTATTTCAGGCTTATGAGCCTAACCTGTAATCCAAATGCAACATGCAGCCTATGCAGATGAGTTAATGTTTCTACAGAAACCTCAACTTAGATATTTCTTCATCTCCAGCTCCTTTCTTTGGGCTTCTCAGAACACCTCTGTTACCAAGTTCCTGGTACTTTTTGTTTGGTGCAAGGCTGAAATGTCGGGTAGCCCTGGCCAGGGCTGAACTGGTCTTCCATATTGGGTCATAGGAAAGAAGGGCCCAGAGCTGTCACCCTGCCCAGTGATAGTTGCCATCACAGGGAGGCCACAGCTTGCCAAAGGTATTGCTGGCAGCAGATACAGAACCATGAACAGAGCCCCCATTTCTGGGTCCTCTGGAATGAGGAGGCTTGCAGCATCTCCATTTATTTATTCGATAACTATTCTTTGCTCTGTTCTCAGCACTGGAAATCTGTCGTTGGACCAGGTCCCTCGTGAAGCTTGCATTCCGGAAGTCAAGAGCCTACATCTCTCTGGTCTCTTGTTTCTCCAAGTGTGGACCCCAGACCAGCATTGTCAACAGTCTCCGGGAATGCAGCATCTTAGCCGCAAGCCCCACTGAGTCTGCATTTTCACAAGACCCCCTGGCGATTCATTCACGCTGGAGAAGCACTGCTGGAGTTGTATATGATTTAGGGGAATCATTTTCTTCTCTACTTCCCGTCTACCCAAAATATATGCCCTCTCACGGAGTTTTCAGGCAGAGTTGTTCCTCCTCCTCCTCCTCCTCCTCCGCCTCCTCCTTCTTCTTTGTTGAAACAGAGTCTCTTTGTGTCCCCCAGGCTATAGTGCAGTGGCACAATCGCAGCTCACTGCAGTCTCTGCCTCCTGGTTTCAAGCAATCCTCCTGCCTCGGTCTCCCCAGTAGCTGGGATTACAAGCCTGTGCACCACATCTGGTTAAATTTTGTATTTTTAGCAGAGATGCGGTTTCACTGTGTTGGCCAGGCTGGTCTTGAACTCCTGACCTCAAGTGATTCACCCACCTCAGCCTCTCAAAAAGTGCTGGGATAACAGGCATGAGCCTCCACGCCTGGCCCCTTCTTATTTTTCTTAAAGAACATGTATTTTTTCTTTTACATCGGTCACAGAAGTTCATTCTGTACCACTTGGAATCATAAAACAAAAAAGAAAAATATAAAAATCACTCAGAACCCCATTATCCAGAAGTGACACTGTTAATATTTTAATAACCAATCCATCAGACTTTTTAAATATATATCTACACTATTTTTCTTTTCAAAATTTCAAGAAAAGATGCAAGAATGTTGCGTTCAGGCTCAGAAAACAATACGCCAGAATCTGGCGCTTTGACACGCTGAACTGAAGAAGCGAGTTCAAGGTCTTTCTCTGGCCTTCCCTACCTCCCTATCTCTCTGATCCTCTTACTTCCCCGAAGCACCAGGAGGGACTCTCTCTGGAATTTCCTTATCTGCCTAAGAAAGCTTCTTTCTAAGAGAAATGCAATTTCTTAAAACTCCCCCTTGCCTAGGAATCTCATAAAATAACCTGGAGAGATTATCCACTGGGAAAGATACTACATGTAGTCACCATGCTCAGGCACACTTTCATCTACTTTTCTGAGAGCAGCTCCTAGAGATTACGCAGGAAGCTTTATCTGCAGAGTAAGACAACCTTTGTTTACAGTGAACCTCTGCCCCTCACCTTCCCACCGCCTCCCCAAGAGCTCGGAAGAATTTTGTCTCAGGCCATTGTTCTTTAAGCTCATCCATTTCCCCTAAAAATCACTTACTCCTCTACCTCCCGTTTCTCCTTCCCCAATGAAGAAGGGCATGTAAGTAGCCTGACCTCATTGGGTTATTGGGTTATCATTCTCCTGCAATTTCCCTGTGTTTTTAACATTAAATAATTTTATTATTATTTTTTGGAGACAGAGTTTTCCTCTGTTGCCTGGGCTGGAGTGCAGTGGCACAATCATAGCTCACTGCAGCCTCAAACTCCTGGGTTCAAATAATCCTCCTACCTCTGATTACCAAGTAGCTGAGACCACATCTGGCTGATTAAAAAAAAAAAATGTAGAGACAAGATCTTATTTTGCTATCCAGGGTGGTCTCAAACTTTTGGCTTCAATGATCCTCCCACCTTGGCCTCCCAAAGTGCTGGAATTACAGGCATTAGCCACCATGCCCAGCCTCATCAAACACAATTTCATATGCCTTTTTCTTCTGTTAATCTGTCTATTATAGGTCATTTTCAGGAAACCTTCAGAGGACAGAGGGGAAGGTTTCCTTTGGCCCTTATAATTGCACAGTGGCTCTCAAAACTGAGGTGCATACACCTGGATGGGTCGCTCAAACATAGACTGCTGGGCCTTTGCCCCAGAGCTTTTGATCAGAAGGTCTGGGACCAGGCCTGGGATCTGGCACTTCTAACAAGTTCCAGGTGAGGTGGAGCTGCTGGTCCAGGGACCACAGCTTGGGAGGCACTGGGCTCAGTGTTCTAAAGATTTCCTAAGCATCAGTGGTTGGAATCCAGCTCCACCACACACTAACTGCCCATGGGGAAGTCAGGCTGCCTCTCTATGATGCACAAGGACACTCTCTGAGTCCACAAGGACAGTACCTGCCTCATAAGGTTCTTATTATTATAAGGATTATATGAGGTAATTAAATTAGTAAAACACAAAGG